TTTTTTTTTTAGCCCTTTTTTTTTTTTTTTTTTTCAGTTCCAGGAATCAAATTCAGGGCCTCACACATGCTAGATTAACCACTCTACCAATGAGCTATAACACTGCCCCCCCCTTTTTTTTTTGGTACTAGGGATTGAACCCAGGGGTGCTCTAGCACCAGGTCATTTTTTTCCCTTTACTTTTTATTCTTTTTTTTTTTTAATGTTCTACTTAGTTATATATGATGTGGAATGCATTTCAATTTATTGTACACAAATGGAGCACAACAGTTCAATTCTCTGGTTGTACATAATGTAGGGCAATCATACATATATCTAGGGTCATGATGTCCATCTCATTCCACCATCTTTCTTTACTTTAATGTCTTCTACTGTTGTGTCATTGTTAAAAAGTATCCTCCACACCAAGAATATAAAAGCTTTTATCTGGAACTTTATGGTTCTTTCCCTCCCTCTTTCTCTTGCAGAACTGGGCATGGAACCCAGGGCCAGGGCCTCACACATGCTAGGCATGTGCTCCACCACTGAGCTTTTGAGATAGTCTTGCCAAGTTGCCCACACTGGCCTCAAATTTATAATCCTCCTGCTTTAGCCTTCTAAGTAGCTGGGATTACAGGTGTGTGCCACCATTCCCACTAAGTGAATTTTTTTAACATTTGAATTTTTAATCACTAGCAACTCAATCAGGTATGAAAAGTTTTCAATTAGCAATAATTGCGCCTCGGATAAACCTCATTGGCTACGATACTGCCACTGTGCAAAGCTATCATTCAGGTATGAAATATGGTATAGTTTAAGCTCTATTTCTAGATGTCCATCTAGAATCTATTTATTCATGTTTTACACAATACCTGTATTTGTTTATTGATTTGTTTATTAAATTATTTATCCATTCTAATTTGATGACAGAATCAGTTCATCTCATATTACACATAGAGCACCAGACCATTTTTAGTACATTTTTTATTGGATCATTGTAGTTGTTCATAGATGGGATTTGTTGTCACACATTTGTACATATTTGTACATGCAGGCTGAGGATACAGCTCAGTTGGTAGAGTGCTTGCCTTGCATGCACAAGACCCTGGGTTCAATCTCCAGCACCAAAAACAAAAACAAAACTGTATATGCATAAAATATGACATTGTAATTTGATCAAATTCATTCCTTAGCACCCCCACCCTTTTATTTTATGTTGAGATCAGATCTGGCTAGATTGCTGAGGCTGACCTCAAACATTGAATCCTCTTGATTTAGCCTCCTGAGTTGCTGGGATTACCGAAAGGAACCACCACACCCAGTTTCCCCTACCTTTGAAAATATAGAAACGGACTGGGGGTGTAGTTCAGTGGAGTAGAGTGCTCACCTATTATGTACAATGTCCTGAATTCAATCTTCAGCATTGCAAGAAATAAGCAATCGAATGTATGAGAATCAGAGGGGAAAAAGAAAACCATAGGAAAGTTAAAGAAATGAAGTGATGGGATTAGAATGTGTTTTTGAGACTTTGATTTTTATTTGGCTTTTATTTTCTTTGATTTTTTTTTTTTTTTTTTTGGTGTCAGGGATTGAACCCAAGGCCTTGAGCATGGAACTACACCCTAGTCCCTGGGTCTTTTTTTGATTTTGTTTTGTTTGTTGTTGATACCAGGGGTTGAACTCAGGGGCACTCCACAACTGAGCCACATCCCCAGACCTATTTTGTATTTTATTTAGAGACGGGTCTAACTAAGTTGCTTAGCACCTCGCTTTTGCTGAAGCTGGCTTTGAACTCACGATCCTCCTATCTCAGGCTTCTGAGCCACTGGGATTATAGGTTTGTGCAACTACGCCTGGCTGTTATTTTTTAATTTTTTGAGACAGTGCCTTGCGGAAGTTGCCAAAGCTCTCTTTGAACTTGTGATCAATCTGTCTCAGCCTCCCAAATTGCTGGAATTACAGACACCACACCTAAATTTGATTCCTAACTATTTGAAGTTAACTTCTTTTTTTCTTTCCCCCACTTTTTTTCCTTGTGGTTTTGTTTCTGTTGTTGCTATTTTGTGGTACCAGGGATGAAATCCAAGGCCTCATATGTCAGGTAATCAAGCAAGTGCCCTACCACTGAGTGCTAATCCTAAATTAACTTTTTGTTTACTCTATTTATTTATTTGAGATGGGATCTGGCTAAATTGCCATGCTGATCCCAAACTCCTGGGCTCAAGAGCTCCTCCCACCTCAGTCTCTTCAATGCTGGGATCACAAGTGTGTACCACTGCCACCGCCAACATGCCCAGTTATGTAAGTAAGTCACTTTCAACTTTGCAAAGAAGATTATGGTACTATAATTGTCATACATAAAATTTGACTCTGCCTATTTTAATGGTGGAAATAGGATTAAAAATGGTATGGAAGGAGGATTTGCTCAATGATTTGTATCTTAGAAACTGGGTTTGGAAAGGGAGTTTGAAAGTAGAAGTGAGATTCCTTTGAGAGTGTGTGTGGGAGGGAGTGTGAACTCTCTAGTTTCTATTATAGATATAAGCAGTGGCTATTTGCAGGTTTTTTTTTTTTTTTTTCCTTGTGGTGCTGGGAATCTAAAAAAATTTTTAAAAAGTGTGAGTAAGAATGCAGCAGCTCAGTGGTAAAGCACCCCTGGGTTCAAACCCCAGGACCTGGAGAAAAAAATAATGTTTTTGCCCTAAGGTTTCCTGATCAGACAAAAGCAAGAAAACAGGAGGCCCAAGTGTAGCAGCTGTAGACTAGACCTAGCTCCTTAATTAACCAAGTCAACTGCCTGCTGCATACTTGAGTTTAGAGCTTAAGCCAGTGCACCTCTGTGATTTTTGTTCAGTGAGAAGACAGGAAGCTGCAGGGTGGGGAAAGAGGGTAGAGAAACAACAAAACTGACAATAATAGAGATCAAATTAGTGAAGAAAGAGGGGGGAAAGAGGACCAATCAGCTTCTATCTTTAATAGAGATGAGGCGCTTCATCCCCTTCACCCTGCAGCTACCCTGGGCAAAGTAAGACAGTTGCTGAGTTCAGTCCTAGACACCCCCAACCCTTTATGACATCCTTTCCCTGAGCCACTCAGAAACTTCATATCTCAAGGGTGGAAGGATTTGAAGACTTTTAATGCCATACTGAGCTACTCATTTCTTATTCGTGCTCAGACCATCCACACCAGCCCTCCTGAGGGTGAATGACCTATCTTTTATGTCTCTGGATTACTAAGGACACTGGGATACATACATTAATTAAAATGGCTGAATGGTCATCTACTGCAACACTCACTGGCATGTTCACTAGGTTCTTAAATTTGTTTAACTTCTTTCATGGGAAAGAGTCAGCATATAAATAACTTAAATTTTATGAATCTGGTTTTACCTAGGGTTTTGTTTTGTTTTTCTTGTATAAATGAAGCAAATAATGAGTTTCCAAATTTACTTGTTTTTGGTTTACCTATGTATCTGTACACTTGGCAAATAAATGTAAATTATTATTCCTATCAGTTTAAACCCCTGATTAAAACTTATTGTTTTCTTCATCTCACTGAAGTCTCACCTGACATTTATTCTCTATGTAAAAGAGTAACCAACACAATTCCAAAGAAAATTTGAGAACAAGTGTAGTCAAAGTCTACCATGAGAAGCTTTATGAACTCCCAACCAGTACCGAGAACTATTTGAGTGTTTGTTTGTCTTTCGAGTACTGGGGATTGAACCCAGGAGCTCTGTAAGACTGAGCTGCATACCCAGTCTTTTTATTTTTTAAAACAAGGTCTCCCTCAATTGCCCAGGCTAGCCTCAAACTTGCAATCCTGCCTGAACCTTCAAAGCAGCTGGGAATATAGACCTGCACCACTACTCCTGGTTAATGACAAGTATTAATGTAACTGTACCAACATAACCATCTATGGTGATGCAAATGACTAAAACTTTTTGTCTTTCTGAAAAGTCAAGGGACTTCTACTTTTAGTGCTATCTGAAATATTTAAGTGGGATCTTCACAATTCGAAGAAAACTGAGACTGTAGATTGCTAAATAATCCCCATAGCTAAAAAAAATGATAGCTGTGTCTGGACCCATGATTCATTTCCCTATTACCAGACCGGCGACCCGCGTTTTCCGCAGGCGTGAGCAGCCAAGCGCAGCCGAGCGCCGGGCACAGCCATGGCAACCCGCCTTGCTCAGCAGTGCCTTCTCCGGGGACTGCTTTACCTTCTCCCTCTGCGCTCTGTGGACAATTATAGCTCTGTTTCAAGTACACACTAAAAAATTAACAGTCTCCTGAGCAATCAGGGAAATTATTAAGGCCACATGGCCCGGGGACTGAGTCTGGAGTGCAAGGACCCGGATTTCTTTTGCCTTTGCTGTATGCACCGGGATGTTCCTTGCTTAAGGATTTCTTCTCTCATACAAACTTAAGGGTATAAATGATTGTAAGAGTCTTTCAAAAATGCAAAACAAATTCTCTGACTTTCCTGTGGTCTTTTAATAACTGAGAAGTCTGGGCCTGGGGGTGCAGCTCAGTGGTAGAGCACTTGCCCAGTACAGATGAGACTCCAGGTTTTTTTTTTTTTTTTTGGAAGGAGGAGGCTGAGGACAGGAGGTTCACAAGTTCAAAGCTAGCTTGAGCAATTTAGTGAGGTCCTAAGCAATTTAGACCCAGTGTTAAAAAAAAAAAAAAAAAAAGGCGTTAAGAGGGTGGCTTCTTTGGGAATATGGAAAGAAGTCATTATCCAAGATCACTTTCTAAATCCTGGAGAAGCTTTCAGCTCTGTATTATTTGCCAGAGGAACAGTGAGAGGGAAGTCTGACCAGCTCAGAGATGAAAAGGATGGCTTTCTCCTTACCCTGTAGGGACGTTTAAAAATAGCAGGGGAATTACAAAGAGGCATCTCAAGCCTGCAGGAGAAAGAGGCCAGACAGAAATGCAGTGTGTGGTTTAAACTTACATAGCAAGAACAGGACAGTGGTTCCTTCATTCCAGCAAGTGCCATCCAGCTCCTTTCCTAATACAGAATTCACATTTGGAGAGGGTAAGAAGACAGGGTCAGCAAGAAAGGAGAAGGAGAAGGAGGTGGAGGAAGAGGAGGAGGAGGGGGAGGGGAGGGGAGGGGGAGGGGGAGGAGCCAGAGAACAGTTCTAATTTCTCTTTAGTATTTTCAAAAAGTACACCTACTGATGAAGATTCAAAGTAGACCCTCATCTTAAGGTGGCTCCCTTCTCATAGAGAAGTGTTTTACTTTGCTGACTGATGTAGCATTGGCAAACCTGAAAGTAGAAAGTGGAGGTCCCCGATCCACCCATCCATAGCCCCACTAACTAGAGACATCTATTGTTAATATTTCACTAATGTAGAAATATTAGTGAAAATCACTTTCCAGTATTTTTATACTATAGAGTATAAAATAAAAGGAAAAGAAAAATTAAAGGGGAGAGAAAGGATGAAAAACATTTAATCTGGCCTGGTGGTGCATTCCTGTAATCCCAGCGACTCATAGGGCTAAGACGGGAGGATAGAAAATTCAAGGCCAGGCTCAGCAATTTATTGAGGCCCTAAATAAAAAAAAAATAAAAAATAAAAAAGGAAGGCTGGGGTTGTGACTCAGTGGTAGAGCCCTCGCCTAGCATGTGTAAGGCCCTGGGTTCGATCCCCAGCAGCACATAAAAATAAATTAATAAATTAAATAAAGGTATTGTGTCCAACTACAACTAAAAAATAAATATTAAAATAAAAATTAAAAATAAATATTTTTTAAAAAATAGGGCTGGGGATGTG